CTATTTTTTTAAAAATAGTTTGAAGTTCACGTGCAAAAGTTTGAGCTTTTCATTGAATTGGTTCCTAACCGTAATATTAGAGAACAAAGATGGGGATGAAGGGCAGAAGAAGAATATTGGTTTGGGCAACTAAAACAACTATCTTGTTTCTAATAGAAACAAGTAACTAAACAATATACTGTATGATGTTAAATAAGTATACTATCATCAATCATAGGAGGTAAGGTAGCCGTCCACTTACAGTGAGCATCCATGTGGCATTCTCCACTTCGCGAGGATTGGACTTGACATATCTATGGTTGAAGGTGTATCCGGTGTGCATGTCAACCTTATGGTCATCTCTTAGATGAGAAACCAGGTAAGGTATATCCCCAGTAACAGAACACTCCGATCCGGCATATGGGCAATTGTACGGTCTAAAATTGCAAAGCGCCTCATGTTTAAGCTTGCTGTAATATGGAAAGATTTCTGGACACCCCAATGAAAAATATTTGCACGGAAGTTCAAGTGACTCTGCCACCTTTTCTAAAGCCAAACACCGAATGTCACCAAGCTCTTGTCTGCAAGTAGGGCATCGGTTGTGTACCTTTACTTTACATGTTGAGCATAGCGTGTGACCGTTGTGGCACTGTGAAGAGGAGATAATTCACATTGTCATTATAAGCCTTAAAAGAAGTATTTAAAAATTAACCACGTGCAAAGATCTGCGTGTGCTTTCCTTCTTACACATAAAATTTGCCCTTTCTGATCCAAAATTCATTAGAATCGCTTTTTTCTAGTCCATTACGGTATGTTTGGATCTCAGAATATTCTAGTGAGTGTGGAGAGAACCCCTGCTCCTGCATTATATATGATCCCTGCTAATTGTACTCATGGGTTGTGCGTTTAAATGGCAACAGAATGCCCATTGGGCACAAGTTTGTTGCAGAGAAGGCAAGTGTGGAATGACATGCTGGTTGATCTATAACAACCTCTAAGCAGGCATAATATGTGTATATGCAAGAACATGATATACATATGACCCCAGTTTCCCATCTTTCACATTTTGCATCCCCTTCTACATCTTCTGCTCTCATAAAGTGATAAACAGAATATCACAAAATATTGTACATGGTTTTGGATTTAATAGTTGATGGTGTATAAAATCTCACTGAGGAGAGTTTATTTTGAGTGTGCATGAATATATTTTCATGGGATAGTTGAAAGAAGACATAAAGACCTCCTTGAGACTGCTAGAACATTAATTTTCTAAGCCAAAATACCTAGCAAATATTGAGGTGATTGTCTTCTCATTGACTGTTACCTCATTAATAGATCTCCTCCAACAGTTTTTCACAACAAAACCCCATATGAAATAGATTTCCAGCACAAACCAACTAATATTCATCTAAGGTGCTGTCAAAAAAATATACATCTAAGTTGTTTTGGTTGCCTTTGTTTTGCTTCAAGTCATTTAAGTGGACTAAGGCTAAATCAACACCTATTTAACCACGCTCCTATTCAACCTGATTTGTATTCCATTTTCTTGTATCTTGTTGAACCAGAACCTTTGTAATCTCCTTCATCTCCTAAAATCCTGAGTCTTCTGCAGTACCTGAAAACTCTTCTTCTTCACCTTTAATTTCATCTTCATCCTATCAATGTACACCCAGTTCTTCTTCAATTCTCTCTATTGTACTTGCATATTCTGCAAGTAGTATATGTGCATGTTTCTGTGTGTGCTGGCCAGCCAGTCCAAACCTCTAGAGACAAAGCAATAATGACTGAGCTTCAGAAATGTTCAGGGCTAAGTTTGCTATCCGGGGAAAGTGGCTACCACAAAACATGGCATTGACTAAAATGAGACTTTCTCGTCTGCCATCAAAATCTCCACTATATTATCCTATACGGTACAGGACTCTTGTTGTAAAGCATAACCTCCTTACCAACACCAGGCCAGAGATTGCAAATTCTGTGCAAATCTTGAGCCAATTTATGTAGCAATCCCAATAATCCAACACCAAAGCATTTGCTTAGGTATGTTAAAGGTGTACAAACTAATTTTGATGAAAGGATCCAAATAACTTTCCCTTCATGCGTTTCAGATTACTATCGAGGTATATGCACTGTGAAACCAAAGAAGCAGTCTACAAATTTCAAATCCTCATCAGAGGCTAGATATAGAGCAATGTCTTGGGTGTCATCTCAAGTGACTTGGTGTGTGTGGTTATTAGCAGATTTGGGATTCACTAATAGCAAGCCTGCATCATACACGATCCCTGACACTTCTACTCGTGGGTTGTATTGCAATCTTTGCAACAGAATGCCAAATGGGCACAAGCCCATTACATACAGTATAACTGTTTAAGGCAAGGGTTGATTTCTAACATCCTCTAAGCTAACATACACTGTACAAATAGAGGGGTAGGATGTACATATGACCTCGCCTTTTCATCTTTCACGTTTTACATTCCCTTCTCCATTTTCATCTCTCATCAAGAGAAAAACACAAACTACTCTGCAGAGTCTTTGATTGAATAGTTGACGGCAAATAAAACTCTCTTGTTGGAGAGCTCATTTCGTGTGTGTGTGTGTGTGTGGCGATCATTTCATAGTTCATTTCAGGTTTATTTTCCCCAGCATTTTCTTTCCCTCACATTTTCCGAGTTCCAAACGCAGCCAAGACCCCTTCCCTTCCATGATTTCCAATACAAAATGAAGCAAAATATACTTCTGGGTATATATTTAAAATCTCCCAAAGACTACACTAAGATCCATCCAATTTCCTCATCTACTGCAAACAGGTTGTGAATATTCATACACACACATTTTGACAAGGGAAATGAATAATCTGGGCAATGAACAAATCATGGAATTAATCAACCGATCAATTAATGAATAAATGGAATTGCAAGCACCTGATGAATGGGAGGGTACATGGAGTTGGTGCAAACGGGGCATTCCAGCAAATCATGGACGCTGGTAGGGGCAATTGCGGAAGGAAACGAATTGCTGTGGGGCTTATTAGTGGACGAGGAGTTGTTCTGGCGGCGATGATGGCGCTGCTGCGATAACAGAATCTCTTCTTCGTCCATGATATCCGGCGACGGCACGCACTCAATGCTATCGATATCCATTTTCAAATATATATATATATATATATTTATATAAATTCTTTCAATTTCTTTGGGTTTCTTCTTCTTCTTCTTTGAATCTCTGTGCGGGGAAAGAAGAAATGTCAAAAGAATTTGAAAGAAGAGAGAGAGAGAGAGGCGGAGGGCGCGATTCCGAGCAACCCCCGATCCCCAATAATGGGTCTCGTCTTAGCTTTCTCTCTGTCTCTATCTTCTTCTTCTTTGTCGGACGGAAAAATGCAGAGAGAAAAGAGGATCACCGTTGATTTCGGGTACGCCGGCCTTCATCCGACGGTCGTGATGCGTTCTTCTCAGCAAGAAGTTAAAGCATGATATTTCAAATTAGGAGTTTGAAATTATTTAAAAAAATTAAAGAATTTTAGGATAAAGCTTGGAAATACTTCCAATCCACGACAACTTTTTTATCAATAAATCTGTATGTACACAACCAAAATTCACATTATTATTATTATTATTATTATTATACATCCCTATGTACACAACTTCACACACACACATATGACCTATTTGTCAAACACAAAGGTGTATTTAAATTATGTACAGCGTACACGGTCATAAAATTGTAAGAATATTTAGTGTATTATATAATAGACACATGTTTGGAACAAGAAAAAGAGAGGTCTAGGAAAGGGGTGCATGGGTTGGGCTGGGATGGAGAGTGTTTGGCAATTTAGTACTTTAGTGAGAGGGTTAAGAGATAAAAGTCATCAATTTTGCCAAACACAAAGATGTATTTATATAAATATGTAATCTTGAATAAATGATCACTTTTATCGAATATGCAAATTAATAAAATAAAAATAATGTACGTGAGATTTAACCCGTGAAATTTACCGAGTATTTTTTTATAATTTTTTTAAAAAAGTAATCTTTATGACACAAATCTATTTAGAGCAGAAGAATAATAATAGTATTAAGTTGCAGAGTATTAACCACCTATTTCTTTTTTAGGTAATTTATCTAAATAGGACTAAAACATAATGATTTTTTCAATATAGGATCATATGTCGTTATTTATTAGTCATTATTCAACTAAATGTCCATCATCACTTGAACATTATTCTTCTCACTAGTCATTATTAAGTCCTATTTGGGAAAGAAAAAAGTTTAAGTCCTACATTGAAAAATGACTTATGTTTTAGTCCTATTCAGTGCAAATTTCACTTCTTTTTTCCCTAAATAAAAAGGAAGTAAGAAGTGTTTTATGCAAATAGAATATTTAATTGATAAGATTGATTACAAAAAAAATTGTGAATGAACCAATTATCTCGTTTCATTAGTCATACTCTCGTACCTTTTTGTTTGTCGATTGCAAGATAAAGTCTACTTTTCTTTGTTAAACTCTACCTACAATTAACTTTATTTTTCGCTAATACTTGTACTAAAAATGATTTGGCACATCAATTAATTATATTCCATACTTCAAATTCTAATTTCCAAATTACAGCTCTGGCAAAAAGAACACGACGTTTATCTATTAAGTGTTGCTATATATACACTTTTATTATGGCTAATTCCACATTTTTAAATGTAAAATAGACAAATTTACCTTAAAAGTTGACTAACAAAAGATAAAATTGTCCATTTAACCATAAACAGAGTGAATGTAGCCACAAATCCCACAATAGGGATAAATATAGGAACACCTTTTATCTAGTGAGTATTAGCAAAACAAAACTGGTACACTTAAAAATGGGAAAATTCGCCGAAAGAAAGAAATGCAAACACAAAAAAATGAGCATTTTTTTAGAGAAACCATAAACAATTGGTATAAAATTACAAGATCATCCCCAAATGTACGTACATCCGGAGGTACAATATAATTTTCCAATGAATTTCGAAAACAAATCACATTATAAACCTTCAAAATGGAATCCTTACAGCAACATTTCATAGGGCATAAATAGTCTTGTGAAAAGATTGAACTAAACAAACCTTTCATTTCTAGCACACAAACAGGGATACATACTAAGCAATGGTCATCATGCTGTTATGCTGCAGTGTATAGTGTACATTTGATGGCACATCCTAAAGTCTAGAAACATTGGGTGGGGTTAACATAGAACCAAAAAAAAACATTCAAGTATATGAAAAAAATGGCACAAATATAATGCCTGAACACTAGGACTAAGCTGGGACGTTAATCGACATATACATACACAAAAGAAGAAGAAGAAAATGAGGCAGCCATGGAAGAAGATGAAGCTTATGTTGCAAAGACAATGTTGTTGAGCTTCTCTTCTATCTTCTGCACATCGGAAAACACTATGTCCCCCCTTCAAGACTCTAATGCTAAAGCTGGTGCTGCTGCTGCATCTGTGACATTTGTTCACATACATTTATATATATCAAAACGAAAGGGGATACAATTCCGGATATGGAAAGAAACAACAGAAAGTCAAAAACTTTCAAATTGGCATTGTAGTGGCTTGACTAGCATACACAAGATTTTTGGTTTGGTTGAATGAGGACCGGTTTACTTTGAAGAGAAAATGGCACTCGTAGTGGTGTTTTAAGTGTTCTTTTGTTTACTCATTAGATGAATAATTTCGTTTATAACATATTTGCTTTAATCTGATTTCTGATGATGCTAGGCTAATTGCAATCAAATACTGAAGCGATAAACAGGAGAAAATATATAGTTCATGATCTAAATTGTTTCGAACTCTAACTTCGATAATTTTACTCTGTTCGTCTTTTGAAGAATTTAATTTTTATAAATACAATAGATAATTTTGAAATGTAAATCTTATTAGTGTTTGGTTATAATCTTATACAGTTATCCGTATATCTTCAAAACATTATAGGTTTAAACAATTATAATTTCAAACAATCTTTCTTCTGATGAGCAGATGAGGGACTAAAAAATAAAAAAAACACTACTTTAATAGGTGAGGGACTAAATTCACCATTTCCTTATATCTGGGGGGAACTAGGAGTAAAAATTTCCCTAGTTTTAACATATGTTCACAGTTATTTATGGATTATTGAGAAGCAAAGAATAAGCAGCAGCAACAACCCAGTGGGGTCCCACAATTATGGCTGGGGATTGGAGAGGATGGATTGTACACAGACTCAGCCCCATGGTCCCACCTAGTTGTAGCACATTACTGAAAATTGTATAGAGATGGCAGTACCTGAGTGGCATATGATGAGCTCTGAGCAAGATACTTGATAAACTCTTGTTTCTTGACTTCAAAGTTGAACCTGGCATGATCTAGCAACGCTTGTTCTCTCTGCATGTCTTCCATAATTCTCTCTCTTTCCCATTTAATCTCCTTTAGTTTATTCTCAATTTGGAAAAAGTTTTGAGGGGGACTTGACCTTCCAAAGTTCTTGGGAAATTTCACATCTACATCCCTTCATCCATGTATTATAACAATCGTGGCAAGAAAAAACCAAACTACATGTCAATGAGATAAACCAGATATTGAAAATTTCATTTACTACGGAGTAATTTAGTGTTACCTGTTTCCGAGGGAGAACATGCCAGCACCTTTTATCATCCCACCGTCCAAAGAGATTGCCCCGCTGCTTATACACGGAAGAGCCTGAAGCATCTCCAACCTTGTTTTGTAAACTTGTAAGCGTGAGAAGAGGCTATAGAACAGCGTCTCTCTCAGACCATGACCACTGCTTGTGACACAAAACAGATGAACGCTATCGACATTGATCATATTTACAGCAAAACCAAGAAACCCAGGTGGGCATTCACCATTCGGCAATTTGGGTTTTAGAAGATCAAGTCTCCTTTGTGGGTCATCAGCTATAAAATCACCTGCAAATGGACTAAAGAGGAAAATCATAATAAGGTCGAGGAGGATTTTAGAGGTATTAAAAAAATAATCTATCAAGGTCGCAAAATACAGCATCATAACTACCCCAAACCTTAAGTTTTCAAGGCAGATGACAAGAAACCTTCCATCCAAAGGCCGCCCCATGGACATTCCAAGTCCATGAAGGCCAGAGCTTTTATTTATGAGGCCCTCTTGGTCGTATATTTCCAGCGCTCTAACACCATCATAGGTCTTGCAAACAACTGCTAACATGGTTTCCAGTCCCAAATAATCTGAGAGAGCCCTTCATTTCCAAGATGCAGGGGAAAATGTCAGCCATAATACTGAATGACCACAAATATGTCATAAATGTTCAACTAATGCGCTATTATCAACAGAAGTTAAAAGTTTCATCAGTTTGAAGGAATAATAACTCTATTAGTCCAGTGGCTCATATATGTCAAATGGTCTACCAAATAATTGTATTCATTTCATATGATAAACCATCTTTGCTTAATTTCTGATCATAGATAAAGATAAAATGGTTTAGAACTCCACATTTGACCCACTAATAAGAGAAATAGTAAAAAATTGGGGCAAATACAAATCACGATGTGAAAATGACTAACCTGCTCAGGCTATTGTCTTCAACTCTTCCAAGTGTAGCAACAATACCAATCACATCCTTTGATAATGGAAGAATAGAAGCTTGAGTTCCATGAAGGGTTTTTAGATGACACAAAACTGCAGCGGCTGATTTATCATGCCTTGAAATCTGTTCAAGGGTCTCTTCCTCGCTCTTCACATAGGAGAGACCATCCTTTTCAATTCCAGGAGTGGTTCCTGAATGATATTTTCCAAGAGCAACTGGGAAAAGGTATTTAAAAAAACAAAAAGAATAATGAAAATGAGAAAAACACACTGCACTAAAAGTCAGTAGGTACAATGAAATGAGTCAACAAAGCAGAAAATAAGAGAAACACCTTGTAGATCTATAACTAAATCATCCAATCTGTTCTTCTTAGTCTTTAAAAACTTCATGTTTTCTTCATGTCGCTTGACTTTCAGACCAGTCTCCTGTAAAGCATCCTGACATTTCTGCAGTATTTGGTTACAGTACAGTTATTCCATTCAACTAATATCGCTTTAATGCTGAGTTAAACAGGAACTCAAGTAAAAGAGTTTTTGTGGATATGGGGGTGTGTGTAACTTCGAGACGAATGTATTATCCTGCATAGTCAAAGAAAATAACCTTGGCTTTGTAGGCAGCTGAGTCTGCAACACCATTCTGTATTCCGTGGTTTGCAAATGGAGAGGAATTGTTCTGACCCATGTGGTTCAACATTGATGGATCATGAACAACAATTGCCTTTGCATTGTTTGCAATCTGGTAGTAAAAATAAATAAATTGCACAACTTCATCAAGATACTATTTTGGGGAACAAAAATCTCCAAAAGCATACAATTGTTCAATAAATCTGAAGCTTTTATGATATATCAATCACATTTGGGAATTAATAAGAGAATTTAACAACATATTCAAATCAACTTTCCTATTACTTTCCTTCTTTTTCCCAGGCATTACTCATCTATAATGAAAATGAACGAAACATTCGGCATTAACACTTCTCGGCTCCATTTTTTTCTATTTACACTATGCAAGAATGTAGGAAAGAAACACACTTGTAACATGATCAAACTGAACAGAGCAAGAATCTAGAGAAATACAACACTTGTAACATATAGAAACAAATTTAGGCCTTATGTCGAAGCCTTTCACCATGCAATTTAATATAAATTAACCTATCCAGCTAAAATCACTGAAAAAATGAAACATACATGAATGTTTATTACTTTAAAAAAATTGGCAATCAATGTCTTGTAAATCTGAATGAAGTTTCCATGCGTAGAAAGGAACCATATACCAAAGCAAAAGTATCTACATTGAACCCTAAGTCGCGTGTTCTCGGTCCTACATTTAAGATCATCCAAGCTCCAAAAGTGAACAAACAAGTAGAAAAATCAAAATATAAAAATGTTTGGATGAATACGCATGCAATAGTAGAATATACTCCTGGGTCGAAGTGAACCTAGATTAGAGTAAAATTAAAAAAAATAACTTGACTTAAAGAAAATAAATTCACCATCTTTCAACAAAAGTATAATCTTTCATCAATTGATCCAATTTCGGGTAACCAAAAAGGGGTAAATCAGAGAGAATTATTAGGTCAGTAAATCAAACAAGTCCCCAAACAGGGAGAATCGAAATATTTGACCCAAAATTCACCCAAATAGACCTAGAGTTTGCAACGCAGGAGCAATGTGCCTGAGTTTTGAGAGAACGCAAGAACCCCATGTTTGACTTTGCGAATCGTGAAAAAAAGGGGAATTGGAGGGCGGAGAAGAGGAGCGAAACCTGAAATTGCTCGTCGCCGATCATCGCCGGCGGCTGCCAGGAGTGACGTGGGAGGGCAGGGCGGAGAGTGAGCTAAAAGCACGTGAGAGAGAGAGACTGCAAAAAATGAAAACCGAGGGGCTTTCGGGTATATTTGCAAGATTGGGGCGGACCGGTTCAGAGCTGAGGTCATATCCAAAAGCACCCCTCCCTAATTCGGTTAATATTTCTGTACTAACCACTAACCAGTATTTTGTTTTGGCCCATTTACCTTTTTTTTCTTAAACTTGTTTGAAAAAAGATTTATTAATACTCCATGAATTGGTGTACCCCATTTGTCCCCCACCCCCTCCATCACCACAAAAAAAGGCAAGAAAATAAAAAAAATTAAATAAATAAAAATAAAATAAAATTATATGGTGGAAAAATGGGTGAGGGACAAATGGGGTACACCAAAGCATTCCTCATACTCCATAGATATTACTCCGTGGGTCGTATTTATACTTCTTCCGTCTTTAAAATATTGTCACGATTTGACTTTTTTGAGTAAATTGTGGGATCATTTGATCAGGAGTTATAGAAAAAATATATTTAGTTATAATGTAAAATTAGTAAAATTGAGTTTATTTTAAAATTTATACTATTTAATCATTTTAAACTATATGTAATTTGTAGTCAAATTGTGTCAGAATTTGATCCAAAAAGTATGACAATCTTTTAGTGACGGAAGGAGTCATAAAATTAATAGTACTAAAAAAAATTAAAAAATACAGAGTCTAAATTTCATATTCCAAACTCATACGAGTATATTTTACTTTGTATTTCACTTATGAAGTTCCAATTATCAATTTTTTTGATAATCTATTTTAATTGAATAGTATACTTAGAGGTGTATTTAATATAAATATATAGTGTGTTGATGTTTTTTATTCTAAAAGTTTATGAGTATTCAATTAAAATTTTGACAACAAAAAAAATTAAATGATCATTTAAAGTCTTGATGTATTTATTTAGAATTGTGTGTCTATCATCTAAATGTAATCTAATTAAGAAAACTATGAAGTTGATTCATGATCCTATGTGTAGTGTCAAGAAATGTGGCAAGAGGTTTGACAAAGTCATCAACTTATGTTAGAAGGTTCATGTCAATAAGGGTGCAATTAACTTGACATTGCCAAATGAGAAAGGTTTGCTTGGTGAATTTGAATGGGAAATGACGGGAGGTGATATGGATTAGGATTAGTACAACATTGACAGTGGGTTGACCGAAGGTAGTAGAGGTACGCCTTGTTTGGAAGCAACGTGTTCAATTAGCGTTACTGTTTGAGCTGAAGTTTTGATGGTGTAGATTAATTTTAAAAAAGTTAAGAAATATCTTAAAATAGTCTTTTCAAAACGCTAGCGTTGATGTCAAACGGGTATGTAGGCATTGGAGCTATTTTTTACTAGTTCTGAGTAGTTTAGTGAAGAGCAATCAAGTCATATAATAGTGCACGATGAACAAAATATCTACCCATATTTACTATTGTTGAGTTTCTTTTTTTACAGAAGGTGTTGGGTTAAGGAACCCAGGGCCTAGGAGACTAGGCGGGAGGGTATCGAACTGAGTCGAGAGTGCACAAGTTGAGAATCAAGTAGATTGTAAGTATTATTGTGCAAAATCAATCCTCCCCCTTTCTCTGCAGAAAGGGTTTATATACATACTACAATAGAGGGTTCCCGACCGTTGGTCCAGAGTCCAACGGTTCGGGCCCACTAAGATTGAGTTGTTCACCGGCGGCGCCTAACCACATCATTATTCCTAGGGCGGCTACACAGAATATGTTACAAATAGGGTGGTTAGAACAACTCTACCAGAGGCGTGGCAGGGGTCCAATCGTGGGCCCCTTGATCTTGACTGATTAGGCAGTCCCCATGTCCATGGCTCTGATCTGTTGACGCCTTGGGCCGAGGCCGAGTACGCGTGATCTGCTTCCTGAAGTCCTTTGATGGAAGGTCAGCCGAGGGTGGTCTGAGGCCGACCAAATCTGCCGGGGCCGAGTATGACTTGATGCTAGGGTGGCCTTCCTAAGGCTTAAGTTTCCTCCTGCCTCTGCCCAGCTAGGTGGGCCTTGGCATGGTTGGGTTGAGCCGCTTTTCTGTTGGGCCGGATACCCCTATTTCAGAGTATCCATCAGAAGGGTTTTAGAAAATTTTAATGTTTTTTATATTAGAGAAACATAGAATTTTCTAGAATGATCTACACACGTCCAAAGAAGTGTGCTGTTTTTTAGAATCTTGTGAAAGGTTACAAAAGAATATGAAAGTGTGCAAAGATTGGGAACATTACACTGTGTTTGGTTCAAAATATTTTAAAGGGAAAAGAAAAGAAATTGAAATGAAAACCCATTTTTATTGTTTGGTTAGAGGGAAATTAAAAGAAAATGAAAATGAAAAGGCAAAATGTATAAAGAGAGGATAAAACCAAATTTCGTCTATTTTGATAAGAAATATGAGTAAGTTCATTTTCGTTTATAAATAGGAGTATATATATGAGTAGGATTCTTCATTCTTAACATCCAAATACAAAGAGAGTTGAGAACCTTGTTAAGAAGATAAGAGTGATAGCTAGGCAAATGTTTATCCTCTAGTTTAAGTGAACCACCATAGTGTGAATCAATTTTGTAAAGATATGAGAGGAGTGTTAATTACAAAAAGTGTTTTGTTTTAACATGTCATTAAAATACATAATAAAAAGATCGGGATCTTAATAAGTTGACAAAAAAAGGCATAAATAGGACAAAATTAAATATGGGAAAGAAATTATTTTTGCAGCAAAAATAATATTATTGAATTGGGGATTTCTATTTTGTAACACTTGAAAATGCTTGAAAACACCACTCGGGGTACACCAAATGTACGCTAAGACAAAAGTATGCACACATAGTGTTGAGCTTCTTCACAGATGGAGATAAGATGAACAGAGAAAGAAGAGAAAGAGGAAGAAGACGTGAATCATCTTAATGTGTAAAATGATGATATTTTCTTCGATCAGTTCAATACCCACTATATATGTAAAATGGAAACAAGAGCAAAAACAACAACCCGGCTAACAATTTTGTGACAAACTAACCACCAATCAACTAATAAAAAACTAAGCTATGCCAATACACGAAGGCAAAAGTATGCACATAGAGTGTTGAGCTTCTTTACAGATGAGCAGAGAAAGAAGAAGAGAAAGAATAAGATGTGAGAATCATCTTGATGTGTAAAGTGATGATATTTTCTTCTATCAGTTCAATACAAAGGGTAGTTCCACTATATATGTAAAACTAGAAACAAGAACAGAAATAATAACCCTCCCAACAAATTTGTAACAAACTAACCCCCAATTAACTAATCAAAAACTAAGCTACGTCAACACACATGCACTTAAAATCACTGCACACACAGCATTGAATGTCTGTTACGCACAAACACTGAATATATGTGTGCGTCTATTTTACCTTAGTGTACATTTTATGTACTTCAAATGAGGTTTTTCAGCACTTCTCATAATATTTTTATGTCAACTGCCGAACTACACATCATCATTGTAATTATGGTGTAAAACTGACGTAAATACTTAGTCTGAATAAGCAAAAGAGCTGTAAGTGGGAACACTTGTAACCCGGTTAGTTATTAATAGTATTGGGACCGTGCGGATTATTTATTGCATGCCATCTTAATGGGGCCTTTTACTCCTATTTATAAGAATAGAAAAACATGTCTCATCGCTATGTACTATTCATCTCAAGGCGCGATCTCTCAATTCTGATTCCCTAACATCCGCCCGATCAGATTACCGGGGTTGACAAAGTCTTGTGGGGCTAGACTTAGGTATCTCCCGGGCGCCTGTGAACCTACCGGGTGGTACCAATGGGTAATAGTCATCAAGTAATTATTGAAGAGTACAAGATGCATACAATGGTGGTGGTGTAAAATGGTCACGTCCGTGACCCTTTTTTTGCCTTAAAATTGGTTCAAGACGTGTGTGTGTGTTTGAATGCAGAGGCCAAACTGCACCATCAATTTCTCCTGACATTCATTAATTCCATTAGAGGCCGGGCCCGGTTGTCCTGCATCACTCAAATCTACGAGGCCGGCCGGGTTAAAAAAACAACCAAGTTAGTCATAAAATAATGCAATTACTTTACAAAGCTGCAATTTTGTGACATTTTTATCACTTTTATCTTCTTTCCGTGACCTGCCTTTTTTTAAAAAATTATTATCAATGGGCAGGAGGGTTTATATATACTCTTCGTCCAACAATAATATTTTTTGCTTTGTTGGGCTAATTTCATTACTCATTTTATTAAAAGAATATAGTCATGTCACCTCTAATTTGAAAACAGGCCTAGAGTATTAAAATTAAATGTTAAACACGGGAGTTGTTGGAAAACGGGCATAAAGTATGTTCTTGGACAAAGCAAAGGTAAAATAGGTTAAATAAATTAGAAAAAGGAAAAAAAGGGGGGTAACGTGAGAATGATAAATACTCCGTACCAAAGAGGGAAACGTACAACTATACACACACCAGTTCCACCTCTGCACTTATTACCCCTACTAATAATAATTCATTTCCCCCTAGCCTGTTTTCTTCTTCTCTACCAAGACATTACAAGGCCAGAAAAAAAATATGGGGAAGAAGGGAAATGGTTGGTTTTCATCTGTCAAGAAAGTCTTCTCCAAACAGTCCCTTAATCACAAGGATTATTATTATTCTCCCCATCACCCCAAGGTTAATTAATTAATATATATATTCATCATGCTTGCTTATTAATGGCTAGCTAGAGATTAATTAATTAACGGGACGTTACTATTTTTACTGTTTGTTTTGGTTTCCATTTTTCTCCAGGAAGACAATGGCAATCACAATGAAGCCCCGGAGGTGGTTTCACTCGAGCATTACTTCACATCCCCTGATCTCACCAACGGCGACGACGAGGATTCCGCCGCAGAAGATCCTGACAATAACCATGCCGCCATCTCCGTTGCGATGGTCACCGCCGCTGCGGCGGCTCAGGCAGCCGCGGAGGTGGTGGTCCGGTTGGCGGCGGGGGGAGGGAGCCGGCAGTCCAAGGCGGACAGAGCTGCCACGCGCATTCAGTCGTATTACAGAGGGTATCTTGTACGTCCGGCCAAGTATTGTTTTACTTTGTAGTCGTACGATTAAGTCCATTATTTTCAATTTTTAACCCA